ATTCAGTCTTTGTTCTTTCACTGTTATGTTACTTTGTTAATTCATTAATTTCAACAATTTTTGAATTAATGAGAACAGCAACATGTATCATAGTTATTAGAATTAGATATGAACAAGTTCTTTTAGATAGTAATTCTTAATTATCATATCTAATTAGTTATTACATAATTTTGATCATTCAAAGAAAAGTAATTTGCACTTTATATGGAATAGATAATCAAGTACAAATTTCTTTTTATACTCTTTTGACAAAGTATTTATTTTCTTGTATAATCACTTTATAAGAAGTTATATAGATCTTGAATTAATATATTATAGTAGCTTAAGCAGTATTACCAGAAGTATTATAAAAGTTATCATCTTTATCCTAAACTCTCTGAATATATTGTGACAAAATCTATTAAATATTATATTAAATAAAGAAATTATTATTATAATTCATAAATCTATCTTTGAGATTATATTGCTAATAATATATTACTCATAAACTTATCTTTGACTTTGTATTGCTAATAATACATTATTCATATACTTATCTTTGATATCATATTGCTAATAATACAAATAGTATATTATATATTTAATTTTCAAAGATTTAAAAACATTTTTAATACATATATTATATTTGATATTGAAATTTTGAGAACTCTTTTTAGTAGTTCAATATTGTATTAAAAGAACATAATTGTTACCAACCTTTAAGTGATTCTTATAAGTACTTATTATACTTTAACTTATATTCAGTCTAAAGTCATAAAGTATTATTCAGACTGTGAATTGTCATTAAGATATTTGAGTTTTCTCTTTGAATATTATAAATACTCATGAGTATTTCAAAGTTCCATTAAAATGGTAATAGTATTGTGCTGAACAAATTATTATTATTGAATTATTAAGCTTTATATCATATTGTGCTGAACAAATTACTATATTAAAATTATTAAAATTAAATTATAAATATTTTACTTTTGTTATTTGAATTTTTAATTGTTAATAAATATTCCTAACTTATAAGAAAAACAAAATAAAAGAGTTTTAGTTATTATTATTATTAATTATATTACTCTAGTTTTGGAAAGCTTTGTACAAGTACAGAATCATCCTTTCAAATTTTCTTTATTATTTTTTCTCCTCTTTGACTTTTACTCTTTCACAACTCTTACATATTATTATTCCTTTTCAAGTAAACACAATTTTCATAGAAATTGGTATAGGTCTTAAATACACTTTTTTTTATTTTAATATTTTTATCAGTCTATTACTTTCTCTCAACTTAGATTTTTATTTGTAAACTAATTTTATAATTAGTAAATAAACTTATAATAATATTTTGAATTATTGTTAAGATATTGAAAGTTTTTCTTTAAATATTTCTTAAAATTTATAAATACCTTTGAGTATTTTGAAAGTCAATTAAAACAGTAATAATATAATGATAAGAGATTAATTATATTAAATAAAAGATATTGTTTGTTATAGATGAGAGATCTTTTTAAAATAAAAAATACAAATAAAAAAGAAAAATAATAATTAATACTTGACTAAAAATCTCCAACTCAAGACTTATAATATAATTCACTTTTAAGAAGATTTTGTCAAAAGAAATTAAAATGATAAAAGATAAAAGATATAATTCAAAAAGATTAATATTCAAAAAGATTAATTATTTAAAAAGATTATTTTTCTAAGTTAAAATATATGTTATATTTATACAAGTTATTATTACTTGACCTTTAAAGTTTAAAGCTATTTTTGATTGATATTATAATTACAAAAAATGCTTACTTGATGATTATATATTACTTGCTCACTTGATGATTATATATCACTCACTCTTATATTATATAAATTCTATCATTGATATCAATCAAATTTGATTATGTAGATTAATTAATACATGTTTTTAATACTAATAATAATAATATAAATTAAATATGATTAATATAAATTATAATTAATGTAAAATGAGATAATATAAAAATAAAATGAAATAATAATGAAATAGTATGAAATATAATAAAATAGAATAAAATAATATGAGTAAAATGTGGATAATATGAAATAAATATGAATATGATTTACAAATCACATGAAAATCAATTATCCAATCAAAATAAACTATAAGAAATCATGTAATATGTTAAAATTTATATTACAACAATATCTTATTATGAAATAAGCATAATTACGAATTTGTATATTTACCTGAGATGTAAATAGAAACTTAGTTTCTGGAGAGATATTATTAGCTGATAAACTTTCCAATGAAGTCTCTTTGGGATGAGATACTATAGGTGTACTTACCTCGATCTCCGGTAAACAGCTATAAGATAATAGAGCATGTGGGATAGAAGTTATAGTTAATTCACTTACTTCAGAATTATTCTGATTGTGAATTTTATTCATGATTTTTGAGAGTACATGATTTATAATATTCTGAATTTGAGTGTTGGTAAGATTTGAAATAGCATTTGCACTATACGTAACTTGCTTGATTTTTTCTATTCCTATGACATTAAAAAGATTATAGATTTTTCTAGTTCTAAGAGATTTCTGTTGCAGATTCGCTTCTGTAATATCAGGAAGTAGCTGTTTAACTTCTTTATATATCAAACTCCTTGCTGTTTTAATCTTAACTTTGCCACCGGAAGTAATCTCATTAACCTTTTTATCATACCTTTCTATATAGTGACACCAATGCAAAATTTCTTCCCGACCAGATTGAATTACTTTTCGAAACATACAAACTATGTTTTGCGCCGTAACCTGATTGTATTGATTTTCGTCATCCAGTAAGTTCTGATTACTAATTATATTTTTTCTGGAGGTTGGAGAGGCAGATAGCTCTTGTTTTTATTAGGTTGAGAAAGATCATCATTACATTCGAATGGATCTGTAGAATCAGAATTAATAGATGGTTTAGATAATGTCGAGGATTCGTAAAGGCTTTGATCGTGAATTTTATTAACTGTTTTTTCTGATTCTACTGAAGATAAGTCTTGACCTCGAAGTTTTTTCTCCTTAATCCTCTGAATAATCTCTTTACTAACTGTTTCTATATTTTGAATCCAGGAATTCGTCAATTACTTTGTCTTCCGTAGAAATAAGAGATGTGGAAGATTGGCTATCCTTTTCCTGGTATGGATTAGAATCGGAACTATTTTCTATTCGTTCAGGAGCGACATCAGAATCTGAAGTATTATCAGTTATATCCGATGCTGGAGCATTCTCAGTTTGTAAGTCTATATCATCAGAATTTGAAGTAATATCAGATATATCAGATGACTCACAGAGTGAGGATGCTATCGCATCTGGAGTATCGTTGAAATTTACCAGAGATTGCGAAACATCTTTTGTATAAATAACTTTTTCTTTTCCTCCCTGCTCTAATATAGCGAGTCTGGTCTCAAGCTCTATATTCTTTTGATCTAGTTCCTTAACTCTAGCATCGCGCTTTGTATTTTCTTCTATAGCCTGCCTTAGCTTCACATTCTCAGCCTTGATCTCAATATACTTCTTTTTAATTTCGGTATTCTCGGCTACAAGCTTAGAAATCTGTTCTTCTAATAAATCAATTTCAGATTGTGTATTTGCCATTGTTTTATATAAGATGCAGATATATTCAAAAGTTTAATCGCATGAAAAAATATTGGTGTAGAATCGCATTAACGCACTTTATTGATTGTAATAAAATCGAAAAGAATAAAAAATCTACTTATTGTTTCTATACTATTACCTACACGAAACATGTAGTGTCAAAAATGAATTAAAAATCCCGCACCAGTTGGTTGTTATCTGGCAAACTAATTTATCTTTTTCGAGCCTGGGGAAAAACCCGCTTAAAGTTTATGTTTACTGCCTCCTGTGATACTAATAAATCTGTACGAAATAAAAGACATTAGTTTGCAAGCCCGGAAGTTGATTCATGAAAATGATTGTCAACCAAAATATTCAACTTTAGCCAAAAACATTATTTCTAATTGTAGATGAATGATAACGATAAACTGATTCTGATTCTTGACCTAGTACAAACAGTATCATGGGTTTAAAATTCCTATAATTGGAATCTTATAGTATCGGTTAGTGTTTCAAGCCGGCAACAAAATACCGGCGCGACTGGGTTGGAACTTTTTACATCGACTAGCCGGCTGAGTCGATGGTCATGTGAATGTCCTTATTTAGAATTTATTTATGTGCTTACGTCAATCACAGTATTACATAAAACACTATATTATATACCAAATTTAGAAAGAATAACGCGCCGCATCGAAAAAAGTCAGGTCGGCTGACTCAGCGAGTCGACTCTGCGCCGGCGCATCCTAGTCAGCTTT